TTCGAGTTCTTCTTCATCTAATTCTCATGAACTTTCTTGTCTATGGAGTCCATAATATCTTTGACATAAAATGCATACTTTACATGAGCACCATTCAGCAACAAAATGAACGAGGTCAGGATGTATGTAAATACCTTTGAATTCATTATACACCCTTAGTAAGCTCATAAAATGCTTGTTTTGAGGTTGAGCCACTTTTGGCTCGACCGTATTCTTTCATCCAAAACTCAAGAATTTCCTGCATTTTAACACTATTGAGAAATCTGTTTAAATGGTTTAACTTTCCTGCTTCTCTTGCCATCTTTGTTGCATTTATATAACCATCCTTGTCTCTACGTAAGACTTCAATACCGTTATAAGTGCCTTTTGTGAATGTTTCAATTAGATTTGTTCGTGAATGTTTTTGCTTCGACTGACATTTCTGTTCTTACATACAAAATAAAATAAATAAAAATAAACTAACTTTATTTTTTTGTCTTAAGGAAATTCACGAAAATTCAAGAGGTGAAAAAACAGGTGAGAAAACAGGTGAAATCTCACCTCTTCACCTATAATATATTTTTGTCTGATTTACATCTAATGAAAAAGTTTAGAAGAATTTTCTTATTCTTTCTGGCATATTTTTGTCTTTCCAGTACTCCCGCTCTAATGGTCCCAGATGTGTTGGCTTCGACTCTCTCAAGTTCTTAGATGGTATAACATCTTCAACGCTCCTTCATATCTTACTTTATAAGTGTCATCGTTTATGTTGTAGTCAAGTATTTCAATAACCACTCCTCGCTTTGCTTCGTCAATGGTTTCAGCAAGTTTGCCATTACTACTTTCGACTAATTTATGTCGAGGATAAAATGCTATGGAGTCGTCAGCAGCTTTTATAAGATATCCATTACCTTGCGTAGAGTCTACGATATAATAATTTCGACTTAACCTTAAACGTTTCTTTGTCAACGGTTTGTCGTCAAGAACTACACGAACTTTTGTACCAGGAATGAGGGTAAATTGTTTGAATTTCTGATATTTTGTGTTTGACTTAGTTTCTTTTGTATATACTTTTCTTTTGTTGTTGTGTCATTGAATTTGGTGTATGTCCTGTTGTAGAATGTGTTGAGGAATTGTAAACTTCGATGAAATGTTTCATTGTTTCTTCGGTAAAGTCTCGCTCTTGATTTAAATCTCTGAGAGTCTTATGAAGCGGTTAATGATACCGAGTATGTTATGGTTATGGTCTTCAGTAGTGTAGTGAGTTATGTTATGCTTAATGAGAAATTCTGTGATTTCATTGCTGAGGTATGCACTGTCTTGGTCTGATGTTAAAGTACTTGGGTTATGTTCTGCTACAAACTTTTGTAAAACTCTTAACACTTCACGAGTTCCTTTATTTTTCATTGGATATGCTATGCTTTTACGAGTGTTAACATTTATGAAGATGAGGAATGGTTTATGACCTCCTTTTCTGCTTTGAATGAGAGTGTCAAATTGGTATGCGTCAGGAGTGTTGGAGTAAATTGGTAAAAGTAGTCGTAAGGGTTTATTTTTGTTTGATGTACAACATTTTTGTCAAAGAACCTTTTCACTTCAGCTCTGTTAGTAAATCCCCAACTCTTTGCAGCTTCATTGAATTCTTAAATGACCTCCATGGATGTTGTTCGAATACTTCTTTCAAGCTCATTTATGTAAAGTTAAAGATTTTAACCAACTCGTATCCAAGCGTGCATTGTTATATAAGGAGGCATATAATCTTTTCCATTACCTGCTGGGTCTGTAATACCAGCTACAACATGTGCATGATTTCCTGCAGTTCCACAGAAAATACCTGTGCTAACATCTTTGGGGTCATCTGAGATATCATATCTGTTCATTCCCTGTCTATTCGAACCCGCTGCAAGATTTATATAACCTCTTTTTGTTATTGAATGTGAATGGTTTCCTTCCACAGATGTTCTTCCACTGAACCTATGCATATGTGAAGGAAGGTTTTCAATACCTATTTTCTTTGAACCTCCCATCTTCATTGACTGCGTATTAGTGTAGAATGGAAAACTGTCAACTATTTCATACCATCTACCACCAAATAAAGTGTTTGGATTTATTGGATTCATAGACGTATAAACAGCTCCTATAGGATATATTAAATCATATATGCTCATAACTCTATAAACATATTCTAAAGAACTTATGTCATTAAATACCATTTGGAATGTATCTCCCGGATGAAATGTTGCATTTGTTCCACTTTTATAATGTAATGTTAGTTCAATAGAATTATCCAAGAAAAATTCAAAAGTATCTGGTTGAAGACCTCTAACAAATTCAAATGGAGTTGCTGGTTCACCATTTATAATTTCTGTTGTAAATGTCATTGTATCTGGTTTCGAAAATTTCTTTGTTAGTTCTGCATCCACATAAGTTTTATCTGCTTTCTTATCTAACATTGTTGGTAGTTCATATGCTTCAAAGTTTCTGGCATGACTTTCAATGTTCCTGCAACTCTTATCTAAACTGTTAAGAGTATCTTTTACGCTTGTACTTGGATTTTCTAATGGTGCACTTGAACCAAGGTCAAAGTTCAATATTATGTCGTCTGCTCTAACAGTAGTGAAGGATTTATGTGTATGGTTCTTGTCAGCTTTACTGTCTAATGTAGCTTGAAGTTCATTTATATCGGAGATGTTGTGTTTATGAGATTTCAAAACTTTGTTCATTGCTTCGAGTTCAACTTTGTCAGCTTTACTTTTAATAGCATCTTCAAACGTTATTTTTGCCTTAACTCTCAAAGTAAATCTTGGTTCAACTAATACACCGTTAACATTGAAAGTAGAGGCATAAATTTCACCGGTATAACCAAATGCTTCTGGTGCTTTAGCTACATCATACTGTACAGTACAGCTTATGTCATAACCTTTAGCACGAATGTATTTATATCTTCTTTCATTAACATTTTTTGTCTTCGCTTCATCACTTCGTGTTAAATATCCATGGTAGTCCGTTATAATCTGTTCGTCTGAAGTTATATAATGAACATGGTTCTTGTCCGCTTTACTATTTAATGTAGCTTGAAGTTCATTTATATCGGAGATATTGTGTTTATGAGATTTCAAAACTTTGTTCATTGCGTCAAGTTCATTTTTGTCCGCTTTACTATTTAATGTAGCTTGAAGTTCATTTATATCGGAGATATTGTGTTTATGTTCTTTATCTGCTTTTTCGGCTAATTTCTCTTCTATCTCATTTATTTCAAGTTCATGCCTACCACCACCTCCCGAAGAAGTATTTTTCTTCAGCTCTTGAAGAACGTCCACTTCGCCATCTTTGGTGTCAATAATGAGACTTTGTGTTAAAACCTTTCCTGTCTTAATGGATGTTTGTAAAACTTCTTCTTCACCGTGTTCGGGGTCATGGTCGTCATCATATCTTGTGAAATCAGAGATGTTGTCATACATTAAGCATATCTGTCTCAAAAGTTCTGCTATTTGAAACTGGAACGAAAGATATACAGAACTTTCATCATCTCCTAAAGTCAAGTCTGCTTTCTTAAGTATTTCTTGAATGTATGCAATGAGAACAGAGTACCTTGGAAAATATTCGAACAATATTTCATTAGCTGTTGGTTTTGGTGGTTCTTCTGGAGTTTCTGTTGTTTCAGTTCCTTCTGTTTCTGTTGGAGTTTCTGCATCTCTTGACTTCAATGCTCTTGCTCTCAAAGACCTAAATGTTAGAGCACCGGGTTTTACAAAGGACTTTATAAATGCTTTAATAGTTCCTGGTAAGTTATTGTTAGCATTAAGTAAGTTCCTTATGCTTCCATCATGTACGTCCATAGCACTATGTAAAAAATCTATACTTTTCTTGTAGTCAGCAATAGACTGACTGTGATTTTTTAAAGATTTGTCAATACCTTTAAGCCAATCTTCATGCATGTCTGATACTGAGCCAAGAATATCATTTGCTTCCTTTAGTGTATTTTGTGCTTGTCGTAAAGTATCCAATCCCGTACGTGCATTGTTTGCTATACGTCTTACAGTATCTATTTGACTCCTTGTTTCTTGCATCCAACCAGATAAAGTTTTAATAGTATCCGAACCATTTGAAATGAAGTTCAAAGCATTTTTAACGTCATTTAAAACTTCTTCACCAAGTACTGCCCATATCTTTCCGATTTGGTATTGAAGAACTCCATATGAAGCAGCTGTTAAACCAGTATTTATAAGGTCCCATATCCATGATTTAGCAGTTTTTCCATCCTTTCCATCCTTTCCATCCAAACCGTTTTCGCCTTGAGGTCCTTGTATTCCTTGATCCTTGTATTCCTTGAGGTCCTTGTATTCCTTGTGGTCCGGTGTCACCCTTCTCTCCTTTCAGTTCATCTTTATGTTCGTTATAATATTCTAATGTCATAAGGTGTACATCATTACTGCTACCAGCAACGCCAAGAATTTGTTTCTCATTCATGACTAAATTCTTTAAGCATTTAATGTTGTCGTCAAATCGAAAGCTCTTTAACAATTCAATGAGAACATTCAGTACTTTCACTAATGAGGCATCTACTGTAGAATTTATATATTGCACCGTTCCATCATTTATGATAGGAACTTTACTTATTGTAATGAATGGGTCATAAGTGTTAAAAGTATCGAAATCAATGACTTTTTTAGTTTTTCCATCGTCAATGACTAAATCATTGCCTTCAATGGTTAAAGTTGAGTTTTCGTTTACTAGTTCATGTGCTCTTCTTGCTTCATTTGTTTCATACGCATATGCAGCAATAGTCATATTTTAATGAGAATAAAATGTTGTTCTATTTGCAAAGTACAGACCCAAACGAATACGGAATAGTAAAGCTTCAAACAAACTTAGGTCTTCAGAATGAAGCACTTGCTTTCAGAGTTGTTGACTTCAATACTATCGCAACTTTTGTCATAACAGATGAAACAGATTTCATGGAGTTTGAAATAGATGGAAAGAAGCACGAAATAAGATTTCACAATAATGTAGAATATAAGATGGAAACATTAGCTGGAGTGTTAAATGCTCTCATAAATACTACAATAAACAAGGATAACGAAGAAAACTTAATGAATGTTAAACTTATTGCAGGAGTTTTGAAGTTCAGTTATGCAAAGGAGTTTAAGATAACACGAATGAGTCATAGAGTTCAATTGCTTCTGGGTGCATACCATATGACATTTCCTTTGAAAAGTGTTGACAAAACGATTGAGATGAAATCTGTTCCATACGTATGTTATGGCAATTGTTTATACATTGAGTCTAAAATAGCTAATGTCACAGGCATTTCAGGAGTTAATAGTAAAGGTTCAGTAGAATATAAATCCTTCTGTTATGCAGTCAATTCAATGTTCATTCCAAACGTTCCTGTCATAGCAACTCATTTAGGTAAATGGATTCGCATTAGTCCTCATAATTTGAAAGACATGCAATTCAGACTTGTTGACTTTCAAGGAGAGCCTGTAGAACTGAAGGCACCAGTGCGAATGACTGTTGAAGTTGACTTTTTAGAAAATATTAAATGCAACAGCTTACAAGAGAACTCAGAGCTAAAAATATAAAGTATGAATGTTATGTATTAGGTCATGAACTTTGGTTGTTGCTGTTTGATGAAACAAATGAATTAGTTATGTCAGTCAAGAGAACAGAAAAAGGCGTCAAAGGCGCCGAGCGCAAAGCGCTATATTGTGTTAGTGAAAACTGCACCAAGTCAATAAGATTAGGTTTGCATTATGAAGATGAGTTCGATACTGTTGAAGAAGTTTTGGATAGATATTACAAATTGCTTTAATTTACTAAAACATATTTCAAGCAAAGTTTATATTCTGTTGAAAGTTTTGTATACTCGTTCGAATATTTATACTTAAACTCAACTCCTGGAGTTCCTGGTGTTTCAATGATGCGGATGTTACCTATTTTCATGAATGGTGGCGTTTGACCACAGCATTCGATTTCAGGGTCGAGATAGTCAATGACACATTGTTTCCCTGTTATTCGTGAGATAACATTTTCAAGGTCCTCCTTTGTTAGAATTATTTGGTTCTTGCTTATAAGATTTGTCAAAAGCTTCTTATCGTCTTTGAGTAAAATTGTTTGGTATAACTGAAGAAGGTAATGGTCTACGTTATCTGAAGGATTTGTTTGAACATTTGTGTAAGGGTTGTCGTTGGCTTCTCTTGAAAGAATTTGGTCCAGTGGTGGATACTCTAACTTAACATCTGATGTAGCGTTAGCGTTTGAAGCTGAGTTTAAATTCACGGATTTCAGTTCTGGTTCTTTTTCTTTCAAACACTCTGAACTATAGTTCTTTATGACAATATTGTTTGTCGTTCGTGAGTCAACATTTGATGTTGGTTCAATTGGAACATTAACGGCACCAGCTAAGATGGATTTGCTTCTCATTTCATATAGAATAAAAACCTTTTATATGTATGAAATGAACAATATACTCGACAAGGGTTTGAATGTAAAGCTAACGAATGAAAATATTGTTGAATTCACTGAGACAGGAGCTGTGTATAAAGATGTAGAACTACTGAACAAAAGAGCTAAGGGAAGAAGCAGGAACATGAACAAAGGGTGGAAGCCTATAAAAATTTATGTCAATGATGGCTCAGGAGGTTCAAACATAAAGTATGCAGAAAGTTATAGAGTTTATGCTCTCAAAGGTGAAAAGCCTTCATTTAAGAACAGCTATTCTAACGCATATCCTCAAAAGCTAACGGATGGAGAAGTGGATGATATGAATGACAGCAAAAATATTAACAGAAATGGCGACAGAGATGCATGGAATTTGTTTACCATCAGTCAATTGAAGGTTAAACTTTAAAACAATGTTGGTCGTTCCCATGGAATATTTTTGACTTTAATGGTATTAGTCATGATATGAATCTCAAGGTATGAACGAGGAGAGATGAGAGACTTATATGCTTCCCAAATTTCTTCAAAAGGTAATGTTATACCTGACTGTTTCCAAATGAGTTCAATATATAACGTGAGAAACCTTGAAAGATAACGAAGTCAGTTATGAGACGTTTTATGTTTAAAGCTAAAAACCTCCATGTTTGCATAAGTATTGCTACAGTTAAGTGGTAATGTCTGACTTTAGTAATGATATTAGCTAATGGTGAGTCTGGTTTTGACACTAAACCTTTACCAGCGAAGTCGTCGCAAACGAGCAGAGTGTTTGAAGGATATTTTTTGAAGGGGTATTTTGAAAGTTTTGATAGAATGTAGTTTGTCAGTCGTTTCATATCGTAAACTCCTGAGTACTGACGTAAGTGGTGTTTGTCAATAATTCTTTCCATCTCCTCAGAAGTCTTTTGCATTCCTGACTGTATAAATTCAACGATGGCATAATATTTCCTCTTACGTCGAATGTAACGTTGAAGAAATTCAATGAGTTCACTGTCTGGAACTTTAACGACAGAGGCTTGAACTTTTGACATAAATGTTTTCGCTGTTGAGTCCATAGAGTCTGAAGTTGCTGATATAATGATTTGGTCATAATATGAGTCATTTCCTAAACGTTCTGTTATGAGTATATGACGAATTAAATTAAATGTCTTACCTGAACCCATCTTTCCCAATAGAAATAAACGCCATTTGAACAGAACTCATAGTCCTTACTGAAAGGAAGAATGAGAGAAGAGTTAAGTTTGTCTGTAGTTTCATTCATGTCTTCATCTACGTCATGTATTAAATGCTTCATTTTATCTCCATTAAAAATGCAAGTCAGAAATATTCAGAACATAGCACCGAGTCTAACTGACAAGAGTATAAAGATATACTATGAACACGTTATGATGAAACCTACCAAAATTCAAGAAAGTCAGTATACTTATGAATATCCAAGGCACTGGGTAGAGTATGTAGGAGGTGAGAAAGCTATTGAAATCAGACAGGTTCGAAGTATTCCAGCAGGAAGAACAATATTATTGAAGAACTTTAATGTTTTGAGGTATAATGATGAAACAAAGAAGCAAGATAGTTTTCCTGTTGCTGTGTATGTGAACCTAGACACAGGAGATGACATGAAAGTTTTTAACACAAAGCTTCAAACGGTAGTGAGAGAACAACTGACTGCGGAAGGGCATCCATTACCTTCAGAAGTTACCATAGCATATAATTTTGAAACAAACTCAATAGATTTTAAAGTCGTCTCTGCAAAGAAGTCAGGTTTTACATTTAATGAAGCAGATGTATATTCGAATGAAAACTTCAAAGCTATTGCATGGTTAGATAATGACGATTGCTTTAAGAAAATATTTAAATTCAGTGACTCAAAGATGTCAATAGATGACCTTCGTGGAATGTTACCATCGACGTTTACAGTTGAAGGTTCAGCAGGATTGCTTACAAGATTGTCAATTGGTGGTATTTGGTCTCGTGAGAACATTGTTATAAAATCCAGTATAAGTGAATTTGCTGAAGAATCTATATTATGTCTTTCAAACTACATGTATTCGCCACCGAAGCATTATAGTATAACAAACTTTGTCAGTAAGTTTAACATAAGACTTGTCGAACCTTCTTCAATGAAAGATGTTGTGCTACCCAAAGACGGAAAGGATGGACTCATTATTGAGATGATTTTAATAGCATATTAATGAGCTTGTTCTTGAAGGTCATTCATGATGAAATAACTGTTGTAGAAGATGTTAGCAATTGTTCAGACATTTTGAAGCGAATAGATGATATAAGAAAGAAGTTTATGAAGCCGCAACGCGGCGAGGACGAAGTCCATGAGAATGTTTATGTTTCATTGACTTTCTCCAGTAACGAGAACTTTTATGAGATAATATTGAAGAGAGATGATTTTAATATGGTGTAAATGGTAGCTTGGGCAGCTTTAGGCGCAATGGGAACAAAAGCATTAGCATTTGGAGCAAAAGCACTTGGAGCTTATGACGCAGTAAATAAAATGAGTGGAGGAAGAGTTTCGAAGACATTAGATGCAAATAAAGGAAAGATTGGAGGCTGGGTTGCAAAGAAGTTAAGATTAAATAAAATAGGACTCATAAATAAAGCATCCAATTTGGTTGCGACTGAGTCAGAAAATGCTTTAGGAAAGGACGATGAGTTTGCAAAACATGCAAAAGACTTTAATGACCAGATGAAAGGTGAAACAATGCATTTAAATAGAGTCGATGGAACTCTTCCTCCACCAGTAGTTCTTCCGTATGGTCCCTATGGAATGTATGGAAACCCTTACGAAAGACCATTTGACCCATTGACTGGTGGAAGTAATTGGTATCATTACGGACGAAGAAGAAAGACAGTCAAGTTGGAGACAGACGTGAAGAAAGCAACTAAAAAGAAACCAAGGAAGAGAGTTATAAAGTAATGAATTCAAGTGGGTGAAAAAAGAGGTGAGATTTCACCACTTCACCTAAATTTATTTTTTCACCTCTGACAACGTTTATTTTTAAGTTTATTTTATTATTTAGCGAGAACGTTTATTTTTATATAAATGACAGAACAAAAATAAAGCATATCTACTCAGCAGGAATGAGACCCTTACTGACTATGTATTCGTTTAATGCTTGATGAAAACAATGGTACATATTATCGTATGGGTATACACAACGTCTGTTTCCATCGTCGTCGTATATGTAGAGCTCAAATCCAGTCCAACCTTCTTTTGTACAATATGTAGCTTTATTTAAGTATGCATTTATGTAGATAAGGCAATTTTCTTCATCGCTCCAGAAATAATTTTTCGTCATTGTTGAAATAGTTTTCGTTCCTCTGCGACCATAAGGAATGTATGCAATGAACTTTGCGTCATATGGGATTGTAATATATTCAGGGTTTCTTTCATCGTCAATGGTCTGTCTTTGTTAAAATGCATGTTTCTCAGTTTTACTTGAGTTTTGAATAGTTCACGGAAACGTTCTGGGAAAGAGTCATAGTAAATGTAGTCGGACATGTCTTTGTAATGAAATAAAAAATTTAAAAAAATAAAAATAAGGTTATTTTTTATTTAGTGAGGACGGTAGTGAATTCGTTAGTGAAGTCGTTAGTGAAGTCGTTTATGTATCAGATGGTTTTGTAAATATTTAAGGTTAAGTTGGTGTTTGTGTTTGTGTTGTAAAATATACGTTACTGGTTTCGTAAAGTGTCAAACCGTTAAGTGGTGTACGGAGGCGCGCAGTGCCGCTGTACACGACTTAGGGATACTAACTTTTGTTTTATAATCTGTCAATCGAGGCTCGCGAATTCTAATTGAAGGAATAAAACCTGTTTGAAGTAAATCGTTTTTAATACGATAAAAGTAATTGGGTGCAACTTCTTCTAAAAGATTTTTGACAAAAACATCAATTCTTTGATTTTTAACGCAGCCAAAATCGTGATATTTTATCTTTTTAAATAAAGATTCAGAAACGTTATTCACAACGGTTAATTCATTTGGTCTGGCAGCGGCTATCCACATCATAGCCAACAATTCCTTATACAAAATTCAAAAACTTGGGTGCAATCAGTTCTGATTGCACCCAAGTTTTTGAACTTTCTTGAGGGAATTAAAGGGTGAGAGATTTATAGTCTATCTATATATCTCCCACCCTCTAATTCCCTCCCTGACAGCGGGAAATTTTGTCTGAATGTTAAACTATTCAGACAAAGTTTCCCACTGTTTGCGAAGGAATTGTTGGCTATGATGTACTGATTCATGATCAGTACATCATAGCCAACAATTCCTTATATAAAGTTCAAAAACTTGGGTGCAATCAGAACTGATTGCACCCAAGTTTTTGAACTTTCTCGAGGGAATGAAAGGGTAAGAGGTATACATTATGAATATATACCTCTTACCCTTCCATTCCCTCTCTGACAGCGGGAAACTTTGTCTGAATGTTAAACTATTCAGACAAAGTTTCCCGCTGTCAGCGAAAGAATTGTTCCATCTGGTGCATAGAGTGTGAATATATGCACCAAATGGAGCAAGTCCCTCGCGAAATTGCCAAAACTTGCGTCGCATTTCAAAGATTGCGACCCAAATTTTGGCGATTTCTAGTAGAGATGGAGTATTTTGAGTCACTGACCTATATGCAGTGGCTCAAAGGGCTCCATCTCTACTTTGAAGCAAGGAAACTTTCCTCGAAATTTTGATAATTTGAAGAAAGTTTTCAAGCAATTAACAAAGGATTACTCGCTATGAGGTAAAAATTCTAGATTTTCACCTCATAGCGAGAGCTTCCCTTTCATTGCTTGAAAACTTTCCCCAGCTTCAAAATTGGGGAAAGGGCTGTAAAGTCGACTCCGATACCAGCAGGTACCAGAGTATTTAAAAGAGAAGCCCTCGTACGAGTTTCTATGAAGACCTTCTCATTCAAGAAGATCTTAATAGAAAATCGTACGAGGGCATTGGAAACTCGCGTCTGGTACATGTTGGTACCAGAGTGTTTGAGATTTGAAGACTCTGGTACTAACATGTACCAGAATTTATGATGAATTTAAGATGGACCATTATAAAATGGTAGCGGTTTGTTTCAAAAAAATTTAGATGAGATTTGCATAGATATAGATTATATGATTTATACATATGAAAAATAATATATAAAAATATAATTTTGAGATAATTATGTAAATAATATTTAAATATTTGAATTTGAGGTATAATTTTATAGTAAAATATATTATAAAGAGTATTTATATAAATATTGTAAAATAATATAAGTAATAAAAATTGAGACCCCTCCCTGTTTTTGATGTTTTGTCACTTTTTCGGTAATTCTTATTGTTTCACTTTATGGGTGGTATTTCAACTGTTGGTACAGTTCAAATGTTGCATGCTAAGTTCGGTCAACGATAGGAATTGAGGGGAAATTAATCGTCGAGGAAGTACGATTATGTAAAGTAAAAAATGTTGTGGGATTTTTAATATTGTATATAATTTTATAATAAAATTTTTGTGAGACATTTTAAGAAGCACATATAATTTTTTGAATTTAAAAATTAAAGTAGTGTTGAATGAATTTAGTGATTAATTTAATACGGATATTTCTCAAAATTAATCAAAAATAGGTTTTCAGAGAACTTTTGAGATATCTTTTCAAAATGTCTTTTTGAAAATATATAAGTATTATATCAAATTGAAAAAAGGTATTTATCAAAATTCTAAATTCTTAATAAAAAATAACTTTTCAGAGGATTGTGATTTTGAAAGCATGAGTAATAAGTAAAAAATATCTACGATTTTAATGAGGGAATTGTTCCTTATGAGGTATACATTATAACTATATACCTCATAAGGAACAATTCCCTCTTGATAGCTGGGAAACTTTCTCTGAATAACTTATCATTTGGAGAAAGTTTCCCAGCTATCTATTAGAAACTAAAGGCTGTGAGGCACTAATATATAATCAGTGCCTCATAGCCTTTAGTTTCTTATTAAAAACGAGAAAACTTGTTCGAAATGATAAACAATTTCGAACAAGTTTTCTCGTTTTAAGGAGGGAATTGTTCCTTATGAGGTATACAGTATGAATATATACCTCATAAGGAACAATTCCCTCTTGATAGCTGGGAAACTTTCTCTGAATAACTTATCATTTGGACAGAAAAAGTGACACTTTACATGGCAAAAAATAGAGCCTTACTTTTGAGATACTTGAGATTGAAACTGAATCTTATGAGGCGGTGATCTTGAATCACTACCTCATAAGGTTCAGTTTCATATAAAATTTGTTGCAATTTGTTATTCTTTTGCAATTATTTCTTATAAGATTTTACATCTTTTAGCGGGGAATGTTTGTTATCATGTATATATTATAAATATCTACACGATAACGAACATTCCTCGCTAAATTGCTGAGAAACTTTGAGGAAATGTCGAACAATTTCCTCAAAGTTTCTCAGATTTATATAGATCACTAGAGTCCCCTAGGCACTGATTCTGGTTCAGTACCTAGGAGGCTCTAGTTCTCTAACGAACTGATAAAATGTTTTTAAATTTTTGGATATTGCTACCTGTGAAGCACTGACTTCAAGTCAGTACCTCACAGGTAGCAATTACATTGAAAGATGGGAGAAACTTTGTCCGAATGTTAAACTATTCGGACAAAGTTTCTCCCATTTGTAGTGGAGATGGAAGGCTTTGAGGTATATTGTATTAATATATACCCCAAAGCCTTCCATCTCCACTTGAAAGTGTCCAAACTTTGGGTTAATACTTTGCAATTAACCCAAAGTTTGGACACTTTCTAGAAGGAATTGGAGGGTAAGAGATATACATTCATATGGTATATCTCTTACCCTCCAATTCCTTCTTAAAATGGGAGAAACTTTGTCCGAATGTTAAACTATTCGGACAAAGTTTCTCCCATTTTTTGAAGGAATTGGAGGCTATGAGATACTGATGCAATGTCAGTAACTCATGGCTTCCAATTCCTTCCTAAAACTCATAAAAGTGGACATTACATGCATATAAAATTTGACATGTAAAGTCCACTTTTTGTGAGCGGGGATTTGACGGAGTCAAATCCCCTTTTTCGTTTACGAGAAAGCCAAATTCTCTCAAAAAGTTAAGGGTGCCCTATAACGATAATGTAAACATCACAAAATTAACCTTATTAGAACTCGAATGAATGGATTATCCAGATTCTAGTTCTCAATATAATAGCCTTAAAAGTGCTTTTCTGAGGGTGGTTTATCGTCTATAGGGCACCCTTAAGTAGGACCAATTTTTTATAAAAAAATCCAATTTCATTATGAATGTTAATTAATTTATATAATTATTGAATAAAAAATTTTCTTTGAGATTATGAAAAGTTCTTTGAAAAGTTATTTTTTCTCATTTTTAAATATTGTATTAGCCTATTTATTTATAATCCAAATTAAATAACTTTAAATTCAATATTTAAAGAATAATTTTGAAGGAATTGAGTTACTTCCCCCGACGATAAAATTGAGAGGTTTACATTTTGACCGAACTTAGCATGCAACACAAATACAATATACTGGTGACAGAGACGGTCCAGATGAATTGAGAGCAAAGAAGTTTACAAAACCAATAGCACTTTTCACGGAAGATGCTCTTTTGAAGATTCGTTCGATGAAACCTGCTGGGGCTCCTCAGATTGGCATAACGACAGCTTCCATCGAGCAGATTTTGGCAGCAGGTCAGTAAGTTGTTCTTGAACTGACTTCTCTCCGTCAAATATTGACAGTACGCCAGTTTTGACATAATATTGTATTATAAACTTACCTTTAGAAATATCTGTAAGTTTTGAAGTTATATTTTTGTCTGCTTCAAGAACTTTCACCATTTCAGTTATACCAACTTTCTTTGCTTTATGAAAATATTTTGGTTCAGCAAAGACTGCTATTCTATAACATTTTCCATTGTTTGTGTAAAGAACTATTCTGTCAATGTATTTGTATTGTTTGTGAGTATAAACTTTGTTCTGCTTCAATTCAATAAGATATCCGAATACGTCCATCTTTTTATTCTAAGTAAAATGTCATTTCCGAAAAATAGAAGCGTAAGTGTTTCAAAAGGTTTAATGGCGGTGGCAGATGTGAAGTTAAATTCACCAACTCAAACAAACAGTCAAAGTGTTGTTGTCAATGTCAAAGACAGAGATGTTGAAGTGGAGAAACCATACGAAGACGAAGATGGTATAACAATTGTTCCTGTAAAAGAACCAACATATCCTGAAGTTAACAGAGACTTAAGTTCTGTTGCAGATATTCGAAACGACTACCAACAACTGAAAGACAAACTTCAAACTCAGGAGAAGATTTGTCAAGCTTTAAGTATAATGTTAAACTTGGTCGAACACAACCCTGTAAAAGTGAACTCATATGTCATTGCACCTCATGAAGTTTTGAAAGAACTATTGAAACTTTTGACAGAGGCAGACGATATAAACATCAAAGAAATAGAACCCGACATTGGTTGCTGTGGTGTTTCATATAATGTCATTGACAAGATATACGTTATGAAAGGAGGTGAAACGTTGAACTTAAAATATAGTTTCCCAGACGTTATAAAAATATTTGACGACCACAACATTTCATTAAAATTTATTTGCTAAGTAAATGGCAGAAGACATAATGGTTTATACTATTACGACTAAAAACCCTGAGTCATATAATTCTATAACAACAAACTTACAAAGTCCTCAAGGACGATATTGTAAACTAACCTTAAACACAATGACGACTAAAGCCTGTTTTGCGCTTTTGACACCAGAAGACTTTATTGTTGTGAATGGTAAAAAATACTCCTTTGAAGATACTTACTCAGATATACCACCAACGGGTTTTGTTGACTTATTTAATACTTTAAGTACGGGTGTAACATGTGCTGCAACTAGAGCAGGTTTCATTATGTTTGGATGTCCGACTGAGTTTACTATAAACGATATGAGCTATAATACAAAACTTATTTCTGGTTTTTACTACCAACAGTTTCCTATAACAGGAAAAGGTGTCATACAAGGAATGTCTATTCCATTGACATTAAGCACACCAATCTTATATATTGTTTCAAACTTAGGTTCAAAGTGTTATTCGAATGTCGACAGAAACTATTATGACCAAAAGATACTTATGCGTATAAACAATACTTTCTCTGCTGGTTTGCCTATTGTTCATTCGAATGCAGAATTTTCAACCTTAGTGAACTCAAACACTTTGGCAAGTATAACGTTGACATTAGTTGACGCAAACTTTGTTCCTGTAAAACTTTTATGTCCTATGTATTTGTCAATGACGGCAGAAAGTTTCGAATTGGAAGATGCAACTGGTGAAAGTATTGTATTACAAGAACAACTTCAACAACAAATAGCTCAAGAACAACAAATGCAACAAATGGAACAACAAAGTCAAGAATAAAAAATATTATTTTTTTATTTTTATAAAAATGTACAGAATAGATGTTTCAGATTTTTATGACTTCCAAGCATTCAGAAATATGTGTCCATTTAGAGACTATAACAAAGCAGTCGAGAATTTGAAACGTTTAGTCATTTATGTTGACTCTGCCCCAGAATGTTATGTCATGAAAGAATGGGATGTTGTCTTTAACAAACCAAGAGCAACAATAGTGTCTGAACAAGAATGTAGACAGAAACTTAAGAAAATAAAAGTCGTACAAGTTGGCATGAAGATGTTAGATGCTTGGGATATCTTATTGTCAAAACTTGAAGATTTTTCAGTTCGTGGTATAAAGTTCTATACACCTTCTCCAAACTTCTATTCTATCTTCACTGGATATAAATACGAACAAGTAGAATGGAAAGAAAATATTATAGAAGCTTGGTTAGACCATGTCAAAGAAATTATATGCAATGGAAACGAAAGAGTCTATGAGTATATCTTATGTTGGTTTGCAAACATCTTACAACATCCAAGTGCTAAAAATGAAACTGCTCTCATTATAATTGGAAAACAAGGAACAGGTAAGAACACATTCTTTACAGATATCTTATGCAAACTGTTAGAAGGTTATTCGAACCCTAATATGACAAACTTAGAAAACATCTGCGGTAAATTTAACTCTTCAATTGAGAATATGAAACTTATAGTTTGCAATGAACTTCAAAGTATAGATACAACAAAAGTTTTGAACTCAGATGCTTTGAAGAGTCTAATAACAGATAAAGTTGGAGTTGTTGAAAGAAAGTATAAAGACCAAAGAGTTTGTGAAAATGTTGCAAACTTCATTATGGTTTCAAACAATGCTGTTCCGATGAAGTTAGAAAGTTCTGACAGAAGATATGTAGTTGTCAGAACGTCAGATTCTCATATGCAAGATACAGAATATTTTGACGACTTAGCAGAAACTTTGACATCTGACTTTTACAACCACTTGTTCTCATATTTCATGACATTAGATATTTCTAAGTTCAATCCAAGACAAATTCCACATACCGAAGAGAGACAAACATTGTTAGAAGCAAACAAGAGTGTATATGAACTGTTCATAGAAGAAAGCGACTTTGAGTGTTTAGATGAAAGGTCATTGTACGATTCGTATAAACAATATTGTCAAGAGTATGGTTATATGGCAGCTTCTAAACGTACATTCTTGGCAAATGTCAAAAGTCTTTTAGATGTTCAGAATGGTGTATATACAAAGAAAATTTTTTCTGAGTAAATTTTAAAAAAAATATTTTTTTATCCGATAGAAAAGATGACGAAATTCATCTCAGTAAACAAGTACATGTCAGGACTTAAAGAAGAACTAGACCCATTCACATATTTGAATGTTTACTTCTACCATTTTGAAAAGTCTTCATTCAGCAAAGTTTGGAACATCGAACCAGTTAAGTTTGCTATTGTGACTAAAAATGGTGCGAAATTTGAAGACTTAGATATAGAAGGTTTGTTAACAGTCAAAGAAATTTTTGACAGAAGGTTCTCAAAACTTAAAGAAGGCAAAGCATACAAACTTGTTATACCTTATGAACCAAAGAAGACAGACGACTATGAATATTATGAGTCTAAAGTTGTAGAAGTTCAAGGTAAATTGGGTAAAAAGATTTTAGAGTCTAAGCCAGTGTTTACTCCTAAAGAGGAAGAGAACATTGACATTGACCCAGAAATGTTCTAAAAATAAAATTTTATTTTTACATGTCATATCTCCCCTTCTCTGGAACTGGTTCGGGTTCTTTCTTCTCTTCTACTTTTTTCTCTTTCTTTTCTTTCTTCTTCTTCTCTGGTGGAGATATGTCAAATTTCTCAGAACCATATTTATGTAAAAGTTCTTTGTCCTTTAATAGCTCATCTATTCTGTTTTCTATTTCATCTTCAAGAACAGCGCATGTGTCTTCTTTGCATTCTAAGAACTTTTGTTGGACTTCATCTTTCCAATCGGCGTCATTTCTGTCAACAAGTCTGTCATTGACAAATTTTAAGACTGCTCTTTGTAATGTTTTATGGTTCTTGTCATATTCCCAGAAACAGAACTTTAGAACAAATTCACCTTTCTTGTTTACACTATGTAAGATTTTATGGTCGACAGATGTTTTGCTGTCAAAAAGCTTGTCTCGAATATAGATAGCGAAATCGCTAGACATTTTCTAAAAGATAAAAATTTTAATTTTTCTAAAAATGTGTTAGAAAAAAAGTTTGCTGACATTGACAAAAAATTTGAGAATGTTTTGAAGAAGAACAAGAAGAAATTAGAAAATGCTCAGATACAGCCTATACATGAAAAGTTCTTATTTGCTCAGAATGGTATAACAGGTCTAATTGCACCACCTGGGTCGGGTAAGACTTTCACTTATCTTAAAATGGCTGCACAACAACAAGAACTAGATGAGAAGAACCCATTCTATGAGTTAGTAGTCATTTGTTCGACTTCTGGTCAATTTGACCAAACCGTCAATTCGTTCAAAGATATTATAAAGAAGTCTAAGTTAGTATGTATAAAGGATACTGAGTTGTTAGATTGGATAAAGAAGTACCAAAGAAGAGTTTTGAAGTATAATGCTATAAATGAGTATATAAATTCTAAGTTTAAAGAACCTAATGAGGAAATGCAGAGAATATTAGAGAAGAAACACTTCAGAAACAAACAGAAAGAGATAGAATACATTTCGAAGAAATTGCAATCTTACGATTGGAAAACGTACCCTCATAGGTGTCTTCTTATCTTAGATGATTTCGCCTCTCATCCTTTGTTAAAGAATAGAGAACAAGATATGTGTCGAATTCTTAAGAAGCTCAGACACTTTAACATCTCAGTTGTCATTTGTGTGCAGACAGCAAAGAGTTTAAGTAAGGATGTTAAAAGAATACTTACTGACATTATACTTTTCCCCGGATTGTCCGAAGACGATTTCATGGAACTTATGAAAGAGTCCATGGCAGGTAAGTTTGACAGACATGAACTATGGGAGAAGTACAAAGTCATACAAGACCCTCATACTTCTTTCAGAATTCATATCTATGCGAACAAAGTTCAAATTGTAAATGGTCAAGCTTGAAAAATAAAGAGTGCATCTACCCTACTTGTTTGAAGTTGTCAAAATACTCTGTTATTTTTTCCTTCAGTAATGTTAAGTCTTCTTTGAATGTAAGTATTGTACAACCTTTAATATCATAGTGTGTTTGAGGTAACGTATCTTGAACGATTTGTTTCACATCTTCATTTGGGGTCATTGAAATCGGTAAGTTTTCGCGATAGAACCAATTTCTGTCAGATTTGTAAATCTTAGCAAGGTCGTAAAAGCTTTTGTTGTTTCTTCTGACTAAATGCAACATAACCATATCTCTGTCTTCCATATCTTCAGTATAAATCATATACTTATAGTTCTTTTCCTTACCTTTTGGTACCGAACGTGGTATTCTTTTCTGAATGCTTTTGTCTTTTGCCTCAATGACTTCATCTTTTGCTTGAAGTTTCTTTTCCATCTCTTCACGTTCTGCTTTATATAGTTCATCTAACATCATGAAAATATATCAAGCATAACGAGGTGAAGCCCACATTGCTACAGCATTTACTAAAAGTCTATGAACATAATAACCTTTCAAACCAGGAGCCAAATTCTTGCGATTTTCGTACGGAATCTCTTCTCTCGGTTTTCCGAGGGAAGCAATCATATGAGGAAATTCTTCTAAAAGTTCTTTTGTCTGTTGGTTTTCAAACCAATGATATGCTTGCTTTGTAGAACGAAGAGCATTCATTATACTCTGCATTTGGTACATGTCATCTTTGACTGAACGAATGAGACGTAACTGTTTGTTATACTGTATGTACTCGTATTCTTCATTTATAGCTTCATGGACTATAACTGTTGTTGTGTTCTCTGATGTTGACATTACTGTTCTTACATACAAGATAAAAAATTAGAAAAAATAAAAACTAACTTTATTTTTATCTTTTTTGAAAATTCATGAAATTTGGTCATTTTTCAGCAAAAATATAATTTAGGTGAAGAGGTGAGATTTCACCTCTTTTTTCACCTGTTTTTCACCTCTTTTTTCACAAGCGTTTTACATGAATTGTACGATGTATATTTGAAATCCTAAACAATTTCGTAGCTTCTATTTCTTCTTTTAGTACATCGAATGTTTTAATCATGCCGAAAGTCTCTTTATATTTCTTCTTGACGTCAGACAGAAGGAAATCTTCTGCAGTTGGATAGTTTTTATTAAGAAATGTCAACATATCCATTTTATCTTCTGCTGGCTTTTCTGCTTCTTTCTTTAAGTCTGCATAGTCGTTTCGCATTCTTTCTATCTCTTTGACTGAGTAGTTATATTTTCTTATTGCTGCCTTACATTTTGAACATTGCGGATTCATTTTTGCGTTATACATTGAAATAAAACCAGCTAGAACAACCAAGGCGTCAATGGTTTTCTTTAACTCAAACATAGCGGGTCTTATTTGTTCGTTCCATACTTTGCCTCTTCTGTCTTTATCTCTTATCTGCCATACACATTTTGCAACTAATGAAACAAAGTTATCGTATGTCTTAAATTCTTCGGATTTGTAAAGGTCAGAGATGTTCTTATAAACCATGTCGCAATCTTTGTCCATAACTTTATGGTTGCAATGAAAACCAAGGAATTCATAATTTACTTTACGTATGAATTTCTTAATTTCTACTGAGTCAGTTGCTTTGACTTCAATTTCGTCGAATTCAGGAATAGTTAGTTTTTGCTGCTGAATTTCAGGCAATTTAGGTAAATGGTCAATAATGTCCTGCATGTCATAAAGATACTGTTCATTTGTTTCATCCTGTGCGGTACAGTCTAAATTACTTGTTAAAAGTTCTTGCTTTATTCTTTGTATTTCTGTTTCGAAAGTAAATGAAGAAGGAATGAAGCTTTTCATCTCTACTAACATAGATGTTGGATTCATGACTAACGAGTTTGGTGCTGTTGTTTGAATTGCTGTTGTGCCGATTGTTGAAATCATATCTTTTATACAAAATAAAAAAATAAATAAAAATAAAACTAACTTTATTTTTTCTATCTTAAGGAAATTCATGAAAATTCATGAGGGTGAAAAAACAGGTGAAAAAAGAGGTGAGATTTCACCTCTTCACCTAAACATTATTTTTGGTGTAAATTTCATTGACTGACTGACGGCACAAAGTGGCTTAACGAAAACATTAATATATAAAATTCATGAAAATTCATGAGGGTAGAAATCGGGTTAGATCTAACCATCTACCCTAAACATTATTTTTGCTGAATTCAGCAACAAAATGAACGAGGTCAGGATGTATGTAAATACCTTTGAATTCATTTATAACGCCCTTAGTAAGCTCATAAAATGCTTGTTTTGAGGTCGAGCCACTTTTGGCTCCACCGTATTCTTTCAACCAAAACTCAAGAATTTCCTGCATGAATTTTGTATAAAAAGCAACAGTCCGAATTCCGGCGGTTGCTATATTCTTCATAAAATGCCTTATAATACTCTTCCCAGGACTTATTTTCCAACAACTTTCTAAAGTCTTTCCTAAACTGCTGACACATATTTGTTGCATTTATATAACCATCCTTGTCTCTACGTAAGACTTCAATACCGTTATAAGTGCCTTTTGTGAATGTTTCGCCATTAGATTTGTTCGTGAACGTTTTTGCTTCGACTGACATTTCTGTTCTTACATACAAGATAAATAAATAAAAATTAAACTAACTTTATTTTTTCTGTCTTAAGGAAATTCATGAGGGTAGAAATGAGGGTAGATATCGGGTTAGATCTAACCATCTACCCTAAACATTATTTTTTGGTCCGGGAACAACTTTCTCTCAATTGGAGCTGTAGCATACTCTTTGCGTAAGCGGTTCAGACCTTCTTCGAAGTCTTGGTCTCTCTTCGATTGAGATTGGAATTGGAATTGGAATTGCTGGGGTGGAGCTTGCTGGAACAACCAAGGGTTGGGGAAGTAAGGCATAGGCTGAGGAGGGTAGTTCGGGAAGCCTTGTGGTGGGTAGTAACCTTGAGGTGGAAATTGGTAGTAATTCGGAGGTACTTGCTGGAACTGAGGTTGCTGAGGAGACTGTTGTGGTTCTTTAGGTTCCTCTGGTTTGGGAATGGACTCGGTTGGTGGGACGTCAGTCATCCGTTTGTGGCTTAACCGTCGGACCACAACGATAAAAATCTCTGCTACTAGCAGTACTTTTACTGACAGTAGCAGTACTTTTACTGACAGTAGCAGTACTTTTACTGACAGTAGCAGTACTTTTACTGACAGTAGCAGTACTTTTACTGACAGTAGCAGTACTTTATCGTCGAAAACCCTCTCAAATTTTCCTTTTTACTGACAGTAGCAGTACTTTTTCTGACAGTAGCAGTACTTTATCGTCGAAAACCCTCTCAAATTTTCCTTTTTACTGACAGTAGCAGTACTTTTTCTGACAGTAGCAGTACTTTTACTGACAGTAGCAATGGTCGAGGTCGAACCTACCGACGAGGCAATTTACCTAATTGAAATTAACGAGCTTGTTAAAGACTTCCTCAGGCAGAATGTAAAAGGCAAGCTTGTTAACGGTTGGATAACGGGAAGGGCTGCCTTGAATCTCGAGATTTCGACTGGAATTCCAATTGAGGTACCAGAAGGCACTCCTTTCGACGACATAAAGCAAGCAAAGAAGGAAGCCATTATAAAGTTCTTTGCCAAGCGCCCATGGATACAACTTCCAAACAGAGAGAACCCTTTCCCAAGAATGAACCAAATTCTCAGAGCACTGTTCCACTTCTCGGGTCAGCCGTTCTACATAACCTCAGAAGGCGACATCCAACCAGTTCAGTAAACATCTCATTTTAACTCACTTTTTTATGTTTTTTGTGAAAGTGTCAAAAATAAATTGTTTTCATGAGTTTTCTACGATGTTAGAAAAAATGTTATTTTCTAATATCTTCACATTCAATACTTTTTCAGCACTTTTCCGTAGTTATATATGAAAATAATTCGAGATAAAAGTCATAGTACAATGGAATAATATGTTGCACACCATTTGTTGTGAACCAAACTTGAAAGTCAGAGAAACTGTTACTAGGTGGTTCGTAGAATTTAGAAGCAAAGTCATAAAGGTCCTTACCAATACATAGAAAACTATTGTTGCTTGAACTGAAACTTGCATGACACATAACATTTTGAGGGTCAAACACGTTTCTATAAACCATCAAATCTGCTGGTGGAAGTATAAATTTAAATGGACCATCTGGTGGTAATGGTTCGTTCTGGTTTAGTAACCGAAGAAATTGTGCCTAAGAACGTTTGTCTACTTCCCAAAATAAAAACTCTGTATCTCTTGGAGGGTTAATTTCAATCTTTTGAAATGAAACGGTGGAGTTCATCTTGTCATATTCTAGTTTCAGATAGTATGTTCCATTTAGTAAAGAGTCGTATTTTTCTTGAAATTCCCAATAATATTTGTTCATTTGAGTTTGAAAGTCATCTAGAGTTTTCCTCAAGACTTTCGTCTGAACGAACTGTAAAGATTCTCATTTCGGCAAATTTGTCTATTAGACCATCAGGACCTTTATACTGCCCATGAAAATATACTGCGAACATAAATGCGTTAGTTCTATTTGAAAACAAAACTCTTCTAAATCCTATTGCCTTTGCATCTGAAGGACTTTGAAGCCAACGAATTGGATAGTCAAACCTGTATGCTCGGGATGAAATTTCTTCATCTGAAATAGTCCTACCAGCATTTGTAAAGATATAGTCTAACAGTTTTGTATCTGCTACTTTTGTTCTTTGTTTTTCAACCTGAAGCATTTAATATATGTAAAAATATATTGTTTTAAAATGGTATGCCATATAGCTTCTTGAATTTGTTAAGAAGTATTTGAACGTATTTTCCATCTGTATCTCTAGTGTTTACATAAGCATAGCCCGCCTTAGTAAAATATACTTGTAATTTCCTATAGTTTACGCCGGTATAAAAGTAGAAAGAGTCTTGTTCTTCGCTATAGTAGTAAAACTCAAACGTATGCTTGCCATAGTCTGTAATTTCAATTGTTTCATCTTCTAGTTCGTCGACAAATTCGAATACAATATCTCCAAATTTGCCTTTGTTCTTATTGTTTTCAGAACGAGTGACCCAACGTAAGTTTTCAAGTCTATTGTCGTTTCTTATATGGTTTATATGGTCTACAAAAGGTAAATTGTTAGGATTCAGTATAAAATGAGTTGCAATGACAACATGTTTAAGATAGTGTTTCCACCCATCTTCATAATAGCATATCCGTCATTTCGCTCCCATTCGCTTAAAACTCTTTTTGTCTTTTTGTTTCTGACTTCAAATGACTCACAACAGTGAATTTCATATTTCTCATCTAACAAACAAGTTTCCCAACGGTCTTCTCCAACAAACTCAGCGTACATTTCAAATAAAATTTAAAAAATGTCACTTTTTAAAAAATAAATTTTTTATTTCATGCAATGTTTTATTTCTGTGCCGTCTTCAAGTATGCCCAATATTTCCTTTTCGATATTACATGAACTTCGGAAAATACCTTATCTAGCTTAAAACAGCCCATCTTTTCACCGACTAAACCCATTTCAATGAGTTTGTTATAGCCTTCTTCGTTCGTCATGAGTGCGTCAATGTTCTCATAGTAAACCTTGACTTTCGATTTGACTTCCGAGAAGAACTCATTGTAGTTGTCAAGGACTGCCTTTGCGAACTGAGGGTAAGACCAATGTTCGACAATAGGTTTTAATGTGGTTACTAAGCCACTTTGACCTTGAGTGAATTCGTACTTCAAAACAAAAGGAGAAAACCTTTCAACAAAGTTGTCGACCTTCTCATAATGTTTACTCTTCATCTCTTGAGGTTTCTTAATGGAATATCCCCATGTCGAATTCATAAGCAATTTGAGTGTCATTGCAAGTTTGGGGTTTGAAGCTTTCCTAATATCATACAGTTGTTGTATGACTTTTCCAACTGTATAGTTCCTTCCCGGGAACTCACCATCTTCGTTTGGAATTCCAGTCGGAATATATTGGACAAACCTCATGTATGCAGCGTTAAGGTCGACATAGTATATCTTTTCATCTGAGTCGAACTTGTCGCAACCAATTGGTCCAGTTTGTGGAAATTCAAGTGAGTCTCTTATCTTCTGAGAAACTTCTCCTGTTATCTCATAAACATCGTCGAAGCAACCTGTTTCATATAAAACCTTCTGACCTAACTCAGATGCTCTCCAATACAATTTGACGTCAATTGGATGTCTCAATGGAAGTTTGTTTATAGCATCTTGAAGTTCTTGCAACCTCATTGGAAGTTCTTCTGGTTCAGGTTGGTATCCGAACATACCAACTCCTTGTGGAACTGTGTACTTCTTTTGTACTAGAACTTTGTCTGGAACAACTTTTGGTCTTGCTAACAATGAAAAGTTTGTTTCGTCTTTTGGTACAAAAGTTTCTGTCAGCTTGTCATCTGGAATTGGTTCCAACAAACCTTTCTCGAAAAGAATGTTTACAGCTCTGACAATGTTGCACTTACTTTTACCAAAGAATGGTTTGTAAGACTTTCGTTCAACATGAAGTGGTTGTGGACAATTACAATCTTCAACCATGGTAAGTCTTTGTCAACAACATAGTCGTCATGTGATGAACCTTTAGCTGTAGGTATGTTGACTCGGATATTGACATTTGCCAACGGTGCAATTTTTGCCAATTGACCTCTGAGAATGTACCTTGTCTTCACACATGACTCAAGATACTTCATCTTCTCATCTGTAACAAGACCAGAGTTCCTGAGACATGTAAGAATACAAGGTTCATTGACAATTGTTTCAATTGAATTGTAAATTCCATACCTTGTCAAGTCAATGTCAGACTTATTTATGAACGGGAAGTATCCAGCATGTTGTCTGACTGCTTGAGGGTTAGGTTGGTACCATTCGAACTTGACAGCTTGCAATTCCTTCAATTGCATTAAAAATGTCTGAGTCGGAGTCAACCATTTGTTCTCTCTTTGTAGTCTTGAAAGCGTCAAGAAGTTTTGCGGCTGTTTGTCATTGCCATGTGCATAGTAAATGTGACCATCCAAATCTGTTATGGTCAATCTGAGATTGTGTCCTTTCTTATTTTCCGTCTTGTATGGCAGCAAATACTCCCATGAGCCTTCTTTGTTCTTTCCTTCGTCAAAGTTTACTGTAAAGGTTCGACCAGATGTAATTTGACTTCTAACTTCACGATACTTTTCATATGCATATCTTGTTCTTTCCATGGAGCATGTGCGTCTTCACCTTTCCTTTTTTCCTTCTCAAAGGATGCAATTGTTCGTCATGTTTCCAGTAGAATCTGGCAAAGCCGTCGTGTCCTTCAACTTGAGGTTCACTAACATCGAAAGGCATGTCCATAAGACGTTCTTCTTCTAACCTCTCTAGTCTGTTTGGATAATTGGCACGTGCTGTTTCCAAATCTAATTCGTAGGTCAGACCAGACAATTTGTCATAGACTTTTATGGGTCTTCCCTTCCTATATTTAAAATTCTTCGAACTCTCCAACCATATCTTTGTAACTCTGCTTTTATTCTAGCAGACTTTCTGTCCATTCTATATGGGGCATTTTTATAAAAATAAAAAAAATATTTTTTTCTTTACTTTACATAACCGCCTGCTGCCATATTCTTTGACGCCAACCCATACAGCTAATGAAGGTTGACTTGTTTAGTTTGGAACTAAACTTTGGTTTTGGTTTATCTTCAGTTTTTGGTTTTTCTTCTTCTATCGGTTTTTCGTCACTTTTTCGGTTCCTCTGACTTTACTTCACTTGCAGGAACAGTTGTGTCGTCAACATCTTCATTAAATATCATATGCCATTTGTTTTGTTTTCCTTTCAACTTTTTGTGTTTGTTGTAAAGTTTAGAATATTTCGACTCTAAGTCAATGAGATGTTCTATAATGAACTGTTGGTCAGTGAAGTAAACTTTTCCATCTGTTGTCTCGAAAGCTCCTTCAGACTTCAATATTTTATTTGTGAGAGTCTGTTTCTTTTTGAGATACTAGCCGTTCCATTTCTATGAAAAGGACTTTATAGTTAGGGTTTGTATTTCCAGACCTGGCACTTTCTATTATTGACTTTTTCTCTTCATCTGTAAG